ACAATTGGGTTGACATTGCCCAGCATAAGCTGTGCAAGAGCTGCAGAGAGGGCATATCAAGGGCAGGATGCATGCAGATCTCAAACTGCAACCTGAAAAATCACAAAGTGCCCTGCACCCTGGCAGTGATTACTTTTCCTGTGCAATTTTTCAGCTTGAGCTGACAAGGAAAGAGGGAATTCCTCACTGAGAGTGAGATAAGGCTCTTCCATCTCTTCATGAGGACAACAGCAGTGGGCCACCCATTCTCAAATTGTGCAGAGGAGTGTAGGCACAATAACACACTTTGGATTATTTACTTCTGCCAGTGTGTATAGCTGAGTGAGCAGCCCTGTGCTCTTCTGCCACACCTCAGTTTGATGAGTCGTGCTGCTCAGATAGTATCTTGAAATAAGAAATGCTGTGAAGACAAATAAAATCCTTCACATCTCTGAGCTATCACTGAAGGCTCTCTGCAGACTTGGACAAATTGTGTTCCAACAGTGATGATGCTGAGGTCATGCTAACAGCCATCACAAACAGAAAGGCTAAAAGTTTTATTTTAAAATCTAAACTAAAGCTGGCATACCCAGGTATCCATCAGGCTTTGGCAGCCAGGCATTTAGGTTGAATCCATGAGGGTTGGGCTGTGGCCCAGCACTGCCTTGGTACATAGGTAGGAGCATAGTACACACAGCTGTGTTCAAGTGAACATGTGTAGAGACTAGTACTGAAGCACAAGGGGAGAATAATCCCTCCAGAGCACCTTCTGTCGCTGAGGCTGCGGTAGCACTCCCAGGTGGATGTTTGCCTGGCTGCTGTGTTTGGAAGTGCCCATGGGCAGATCCTGATTGGATTTAAGAGCCCCTCCATGTTCTCTAGGAGTGCATCCCTGGCTTTCCCTGACCATTCCGGTGTGCTTCATGTGTACAGGCTGTCATTGCTTGGAGACTATAAGCAATGCTGACTCTCCCTTCTCCTCCTCTCCCTCACGTTCCAAAATGCCAAGCATGTGCATCCCCTGGGCAGTCTGGGTTTTGGGCCACATGCTGGCTGAAATCCCTGTACAGACTTTTCAGGGGATCCAAGGTCAAATCATTCCTTTAGGTAGCACAAGAGACAAACATAAATATCTAGAGTAACAGGTGTTTGCATTAACTGTTCTGCCTAGGTTTTCTTAACATAGCCTGCTTTTTGGGGGGGGAAATAGGTTTGTTTTTCTCAGTGTTGAGGCTGTATCTTCTGCAAGCTTTTAGCTGTAGAAATCTTACAGACTTCTCTCATCTCCAATTCCATTTGCCACGCAACAGTTGGTCAGTTTTGTTACATTAATGATTCTTTCACCATGTCCATGTTAACAACTGCATCAGCTGAGGTCAAACTGGACAATACTGTAGGACAGCCATGGCCATAGATAATATTCAGGAGTTAACAACCTTTTCTTATTAGCTTTTCATCCCCACCTTTTAAGGACAGTACAAAAAAGAAGTTAAACAGCAGAATATTTCATTTTCAAATGACTTTAAGCCTGCCACCTACCAGAGGAGACAGTTCTGAATGGACACTGTATGCTATGTAGATGCAGTCCCTTGATCATCACGTCAGGGCTTCTGATGCTTCACCAGGAGAATTTTAGGTTAAGATTGGCCTGAACATCAATGTGAAACAACAAGTGTGTTCAGGTAATGTGAAAATACTAACTCCTCCAGAGGGCAGCAAGCTTGGTGGGAGGTGTAATGGCATTAAGGAGAAGATGAAGAGCACACTGATTCCTCCTGTCAGGCTGTCCCGGTTTACAGAGCACAGGCCTGTGTGTGACATGGGAAGGCAGCTTCCCCTCCTGCAGAGCCAGGACTACACAAACAATAGCTGTTCTGCCCTGGCGTGTGTGAGCTCTGCTCTGCCTTGGCAGGGAAGCAGCTTTAATAAGCGCAGGTACCACTTTGTGCAGCGCCACATCAGGATGCAACAGTAGCACAAAGAACAATACAGTTGACAGGTAGCTGGCTGTTCTCCAGGCAATCCAGAATAGCCCTCAAGTGTTCGGATCCTCTGGTTTTAATTTATTTCCTTAAGTAGCAAATAAACAGAAGCTGTGTCCCTGCAGTGCAAAACCAAAGTTGTTTCCAAACCTCAAGTGGCCACATACAGCTGGGAGGAGTGGTGGCCCTGCAGCCTAACCCCTGCCTACTTTGTTTTAAAATTTGGAAATGTCCGTCTGTGACAAATAGAAGAATAGTCTATAAATATATAACAAACACACCAAAGGGGGAAATTAAAAAGGATATTTAGGAGCCTGAGTTTGAAATACCGACATAAACAACTTCTGAAAATCTGTCTCTAAGCCTTAGCAACAGCAGATCCAACTGCCCTAGACCAGTATCCCAATATCCCAGCATATCCCAAAAAAAACACCTCTCTGCACCTCCTGGGCCACAGGATGTACCAGAATAACAGATGAGTCTCCACTAGGAATTCAGGCCTCCTCGTGCCAGGAGCTGTAAAGGCATGCCCAGCAGTACCCCTGGGATCTTGTGAACCAAATGCAAGATGGGGACACACAAACACAGCAGCAGGCATGGAGGAGGATGCCATAACAGATGAGCAATATTTTCCATCCTTGGGGTGGGGAACAAAAAGCCTATTGAAGACCCATTTTTATCGGAAACCTCTGACATACATATTTTTTTTTTAACAGTCCAAAGCAAACATATACCTCTGGCACTTGCCAGCATCCTACCATGTCTTACAAGGAGAAGCAAAAAGATATGGCTGCAGCCTCCATAGAGCTGACAAAGAGCCAGTAAAATTACTGAGGGTTCCCCATGTGTGCTTCCCACCTGGCTTTTCCCATGTGGGGATCCCAACCATAGCACTGAAGGAAAAAGCCTCACATGGAAGACAGAGTATCTAATGGCTACATAGTACAGCAGTTTTTGGCCCTGTTGCTGTTACTTGTGTACCTTGTTCGTTAGCTGTTTATCTTGTTCTCATCTAGACCACTCCTCCAGTGTGTGGCACATCTGGCCAGCATCAGCCTGGCAGCTTCAGTACAGGACACAGGATCAGTGTGATGTGGACCAACAACATGCTTTCTCACGTGTGCTACATCAGAAAGCAGTTTGAGAGGTCTGATGAGTATGACCATGGGTTTGTCTGCTAGATCCCTGGGAGCATAGGCTGGTTCTAAATAAGCTTAGAGATGTAGTCAATGTTGTGGAGAATGAAGAAGGTACCAGAGCTGAAATACCTGGGACTAGTCATCTCTAAAACCTGTGATGGTGCGGGGATCAAATATACTTAAATGCACAAATAATTTTTTCTCCTAAACACATGAAACCCACAGTCTTCAATGGTGGTACCTCAGCCTGCCAGTAATAGGAATTCATACCATATCGTTTCCTCCTCTAGGATCCCAACATGCACACAATTGATTTAAGACATGGATATGCCCCTAACTGATAAAAGCAAGCCACATAATGCTACAGCTGCAGGATGGGACTGAAGAACATGTAATAGGCATGAGGAATAAAGAGTTTTTGTGGAAACCACCCGGGTTTTGTTCAGTCTTGAGCTGAACAAGCTGGACATCGTGTCACAGCCTCCCGCTGTCCAATGGAGGCTACAGAAAAGATGGGGTCACACTTTTCCCAGAGCGGAACAGTGAAAGGACAAGAGGCAACAGACACAAAGTGAAGTATTAGACACTCCAGTTCGACATGAGGGAAAACGTTTTCACCACGAGGATGGTCAGGCACTGGAACAGGCTGCCCAAAGAGGCTATGGCTCTCCATCCATAGTTCAGCTGGAAACAGTCCTCTGTAACCTGGTCTAACAGGACCAGCTCTGAGCAGGGAATGGCCTAGATGACCTCCAGAGATTCCGTCCAACTGAATTCCTCTGTGATTCTTCAAATACTACCTGCCATGGCAATCACCTTGAGAAATATTACACTGTACATTTTATTTATTTTTCCCAAAATATATCTATGTATAAATCTCAATACAGGAAACACAAGCTTATGCTACAGCAACAGTGTTATTACACACGACTGGCAACCAGCACCATGTGGAATCACATTATATTTGACATTATGTATAGATTAAGGCTGTTTCTGCTAATAGTGGAAAGAAGCAAGAATCTGCAAACTGTTTTCCAGAGAAGGGGTTTTCTGGGTACAATCACCCAACCAGACCAAACAGGAACTGTGAGGGGGACACAGGACATAGCAGTAGCAGAGATACATCAGATTGTGAGCAGAAGAGTTTTCTCCATCTTTGATGATGGTCCCTTCATCTTTGTATGGTTTGGTGCCCTGTGGAAGCTGGCTTTCCCGAGACTGCTCCCAGCATGCCAGGTGGGATTAATTTCAGTGAAGCTGGGTTTTTTTGTTAGGTCAAGAACCTAAGGTTGCTGAATTCCCTCTGTGGCCTAAGATGGGAGAGGCATGTTCAGAAGACAATCCGTCCCATTAACCTTAAGTACCTCTTACAACAACATTCATTTGACTGATTTTAAACTATGGGAATATGTAATAAGCTGAATCATGACCTAGAGATGCCTGCTTCTTCCCTTTGGCCAGCAGGAGGTGTAAACTGCAAGCTGAGAGGTGAGCACTGCCTTTACAGATCTTTAAAGTGGTGGGGATTGGCCTCAGGCAGGGGATGCCTGACAGGGGTGCAGGGCCCACATCAGGGATGCCTTCTTCTCAAGCAACCAGGACAGGGAGCAGGAAGAACTCTGCTTCAGCTAAACTGCTGCTCCTTGGTGTCCCCAAGGCTCAGTGCAAGGAAGGAAACTGAACATCTTTCCCAGGCATTTCTTAGACTTTGGTGTTCCCCAGAGAGGAAAAAGATTACTCCCTCAAGGTCACCAGTGGTTCAGGGGGCAGAGTTGGGAAGAGAAAGATGTTATCACTCTCTTGCTTCAGACTCTTAGCAGCTGCCAACTCATGTTCAAATGATGGGGGCTGCAGACATGCTTTTCTTCTGCTTCTGAGATTTCACCTGCAAGTCAGGTGCTTATACCCTTGTATCAGCAGCTATCTGAGAGTCTCTTTCTGAACTTGCTTTAACACCGGTTTCCTGTCCAGCAGCCTTCAGTTCATCCATTCCCTTGTCGCCAGGTAGTCTTTTGGGGCAAGTGGGGAGATAGCGAAACCAGGAGGCAGCACAGTATTTGGTGCCTACACCAAAAGGAAGGTCATAGACCTTGGAAACAAGCTGAGAGCTATCTGCCTCTCCCTTGTGGCTCTTCTTCCATGCCAGAAGCCCCCGCTCCTCCTCTGTTCCTGCAACAGCAAAAATGAGAGTGTTGTGTTCAAAACAGCAGGTGTTCTGAGCACAGGACTACCTTGTGTGTCTCACACCTGCTTCTCAAATCCTAGCAGGCCCAGTCACAACATAGAGATCCCTTGCACTTAAACCCTTCTAGCTCCAAAGCTCTTTACAAAAATACACTAATAAGCTTCTAGACAATACCCATGTGCCTCCTATTCTTAGATTACCCCTTCACAGGGGTGAAGAAAATCAGAGGCCCATTGCTGTCTCTGAGGGCCAGCTACAGGTGCTGTATCCTATCTTTGGTTATCAGCCTTTCCTACTGCTTTCCACTGCACCAGTTCAGCTTCAGTTTTAGCAGGTCTCAGAAGGAGGCATGTGTTGGCTCCTTTCACTTCTTGTAGTTGCCTTTTTCTCTCCTTTCAACCACCAACATGGCTCTAGGCTGGTATTTTCCCTAAAAGACATTTTTCCCAAATAAACCTTTTCCTCACCTGTTCCTGAAAAATTACTTTGTTTTTTATAAGCTTCTCTTTTCCAACTAGTGACCATTTCAGCCAAGTCTCCTGTTCCTCACCTCTCTCTGGGCGGAGTTAATTCATGTAGTGTTTCATGATTGCTAGTTCAACTCCTACCCATAGAGCAGTAGTCACAAAATCAAAAAATATTAGAAAACAAACCTTAGGGCAAGCACAAACTAGTAGCTTAGCTCATTTCAGCAGATCCTACCTGGAATGGTGTTATCAAGGATAAACCCCAGGAGTCCGCCCACAAACATGCCAGTGGTGAGAAGTACCTGGATCACCTGGTCCAGCTGGATGATTCCTAAAAGAAAAACAAAACTTTGGATAGTGGTGCAGAGAGATGCATGTTTGACCAGCAATATCCCCCATGTGCCAAGAGGCTACAAGCTGCATGCTTGTTTAGACAAGACTTCAGATTTGGTAATGCAAGGGAGATTGATCTCTCTGCCAGTTTCACACCTACAGTTTTATTCAGCACGATTATTCACTGACCCAGCTGCCGGTGGGCAGGAGATGACCCATAAGTACATTAAGAGCCTATTAACAGTGCAGATCATAGCACTGTCCCAGAAAAAGCCACCTTCTTCTCCAGACATGTTCTCTACCTCCATGAGATGACACCAGGCAGTTCCCTACAAAAGCATGAGCTTCAATTCCCGAAGAAATATAGGTACATTTAGTATGGGGTTACACCACAAGTTAATCAGGTGTTGTTTCTCTGTGAGGGCTAATTCACATGAGCAAAATAGCCAAGTGACATAAAGCAACTAACAGAGCATCTATAGAGTGTGTGATTTGTGACCCCATCTCTTTCAGCAGCCCACCCAGCGTGCCCTGTAGAGAGGACACCTTAAGAGAGGACACTGCAGCCTTTGTGACTAGAAATGTCAATAAAGTGAACTTGATGGAATGTAGTAGAGGAGTATGCTTTTGCATTTTGGAAGCACAAAGTTTTATTGTGTATGAGCATGTAAGAAAGCTTCATTCATCATGACCTTGATCAAGATTCAGCCCTGGAATATTCTCTTGCCCCATCCCAGGATCGTGTCCCAGGGAAGCATTCTGCAGTCCTTAGCCTGACAGGAATATGGGTGAGGTGCAGTCACTGATGAAGAGCAGAGATTTCCACACCAGAACTGTGCATGAGGACAGAGGGCAAGAACAGCCCTCACAGAAGGAAACAGGCAGCAGTCAAAGCACAAGTTTCAGGGTTTTGTCAGGAAAAACTGCATTTTAAAAGATTGCTGTGAATCAGCCTTTGCTTCAGTGCTATGTTACAGAAAATACTTCTGATGTAATTTCTTACCTGTTTCCAGCAGTGTACTGTTTTTGCTTGCCCAGTTGGGAATTGTGAGGCCAGCAAATACCGAAAATCCAAAGATAAAGATGTTTCTGGAGGAGTTCATATCTGTGTACTGCAGAGAGAAATTGCATCCATTACATCTGGAATTGCCCAAATCCATGGATTACTGGTGTGTTCATGGGACATGCTCAGATGTAAACACGGCCTGCAGGAGTGGACCTGGGCAGCAGCTCTGGTGCTGCTGGGGTGTTAGTGATGCTGCTGCCCTCAGGGCCAGCAAGCCCTGCCCCAGCCAGGGACTCCTCAGCGATTTAGCCCCTCTGGGTAAATGGCCTCACCTTCCCCAGAGGAGGAACTGCCACCACAATGTTTGCATTTGCTGCGGCATGATTAGGTCTGCCTCAGCCCGGCAAGGATCACAGAATCCTAGGGGCTGGAAGGGACCTCGAAAGATCACCCAGTCCAACCCCCCTGCCAGAGCAGGGTCACCCAGAGCACATCACACAGGAACGTGTCCAGGTGGGTTTTGAATGTCTCCAGCGAAGGAGACTCCACAACCTCTCTGGGCAGCCTGTTCCAGTGCTCTGTCACTCTCACCTGCCTGGAAACCAAAGCCCCATCCCTAGGGATGAAACGGCGCTTTGCGCAGCTGGTACCTGCAGATTGGAGACCCCCACTGCTGCGATAACGCCGAACATCACGAGGAACATGCCTCCGATGACAGGGGCGGGTATACTGGCAAGCATGGCCCCCACCTTCCCGAAGACGCCGCTGAGGAGCATGGCACAGGCCCCGGCCACGATCACCGCCCGGCTCCCCACCTGGGCGAGAGGGAGAGGAGCCCGTCACGCACCCGCCGCCGAGGGGCAGCCGGCCCAGCGCCAGCCTGCCCGGCACGGCCCCCCCTCCTGCCACAGCACTCCCTGGCACCGGCTGGGATGCAGCTCCAGTGAGCTGGGATGCTCACACCGGCTGGGAAGCGTCTGTATTTGCACGCCAGTGAGAATTTGTTGTGAAAGGCGCGGGGAGAGCAGTCATGGATCCACACCTATTTACTTGATGTTATGCTCTTCCCTACTGCTGTCAGGACCTTTAACAGTTTGTTGTTAAACAAAAGATGTGTTATTACATTCAGAGCACAGTAATCCACACAGGCAGCTTTGCTTTTGCTGCAGCCTAGAAATGTCTTGGCATACGCACAGGCTGGAGCTGTAACTACCTAGTCAATTCACTGGACAACCATTCCACTGGGGTTCAGATTGCCATCTAAAAATGGCTTTCAATGAGATGATTCACATCAATCCCTACATTCCCTGGAGACCAATATCCAGGAGACCAGAGCTGGCTGGCTGCTCCAGTCCCAAGCTCTAGGATCTGATCTATCCTTTCCATGGTCAACAAAGGAAGCAGGGCAGTCTCTTGGTCTGTCCCTATCCTCCATCACCCCTCTAGCTTCAGTAAAATCAGTTATTTATCTTTTTTTTTTTTTTTTTCCCTAGAAAGATCCAAGGTGGCCTTTTCTTGGTTGGGCGCTACAACAAAGATGGAATGAAACACCAAGCCAGGCCTTTCATTCAGAGCTGTTAGAGCATGTAATTAGGAAAGAAAAAGACTATCTGCCAAACAAAGGGATGAAAGAGACATTTACAGACTGTGGAAACTAAAAAGAAAAGAAGCAATTTCTATTAGACTTTAAATTCAAGATACGCCTTGCTGCACCAAAACTTGGACAGCTTAAAGAATCATGCTAGGATTTACAATGTTCCTGTCTTAGGCAGGGAAACTGTAATCCTCTGCAAACATTTTATAATTCAATTAATTATTTTAATCCCTCCATTTAAACATCTGAAGAATGTCATATTTACAGGAAGGGCTTTTTGTGAATGCTTTCAACAAAAACATTCCCAGTAACTAGCAGTGTCTCTTTTTAAATATTTCTCAGTTGTTCTTAAACATATCCCTTTAAAATATGTTAAGTATTACTTGATTGTGAAAGATAAATGAAAAAGATTTGGAGGGGAGTTTCAAAATAAAATCATGCATTGCCTTCAGGTGGGCTTTTTATATTCCATGGCTTAAAACCTTGGGACATCATTACCATCAAAACTGTAATTTAATAAAAGCCAACAGGTCTATTTGTTCCAGGATTAGAATGAAGCTTTAGATTCTTAATTTGCCAAAATGTCAAATTACACAGTGCATGGAGTTGGCCTGTAAGGCAAATTACCTAATCCATTGATACCACAACTGTGAGCATATGTTGCTAAAGCCTCTAGTTTAGAGTTTATTTCAATTATTTAGGGAAAACTAGAAAATCAGTTCACTTTCTTAAGGTCAAAGAAGCTGCACAGTTTCCTGCTATGTATATGGTGACTGAAATCTTTACCTTTCCTTAAAACCCTTTTCATTTTTTCTTGAAAATGAAAGTTCAATACTGGCATGCTGGGCTTGATCAAGCAGCTTAAACATAGGTACTTGGTACCGTTTAAGATGTTGCATCTTGGCAGCTTCCAGCAGCTTCTCCTTTGCCTTATCTGACAGCCTCTGTGGATACCTGAGATATCCAAAGATGTTTCAGCTGGTGCTGGACACCTCTGTTAAAGCAGAGGAAACATGTCTCTTGCATCTTAATTTGTTATGGAAAAATCTTTTTCCTATGTGAAAACCAGAATGAAATCTGCCTTGTGCTCTCAGCACCCCCATCTATCCCATCCAGAGTCTTCAGACTGATTGAAGGTTGACTTGAGATGAGACTGTAGTTTCTGTTCCCTTAAGGGTGCACAAGATGAGCAGAGGTGAGATCTGAAGGATATATCTCTCCTGAATCAGCAAGGCATGTCCACCTGAAGGGCTTAGCATACATTGGGGAGAACATGTTCCATAATCTGACAATTTTGAGTCCAGGCACTCTTTCACTATGCTCCATCCCCTGCCATGTATGTAGCAAAATGCAAGTCAGGAAAGAATGGGCTCAGGTATGTGATCAGTATGCATAGACAGCATAGTGACAAGGTACATGGGGTGACAGGCTAAACTGGACTCCATGCAGCCATTCAGACAGCCCTTGCTACTGGAAGCAGCCCTTTCAGTCGAACACTAATGCTTCAGTATGTGAAAAATGGGTATTGTGAAGGAGGTTTAGAAAATCCAGTGAAATAAGCAATGTTATAGAGTGTGAGCTGCAAGGCAAATTTTGCATTTATTCACTGACTCACAGCTCTCCTGTCATGACATTGATTATTTGACAGTGATTTAAAAATGTTTTCCAGTTGGCTGCTGGATGTACCTGTCCTCTGGCTGAAAAGCTCAGTGAAAATCTATAATCTGATTGTCAAGTTTATATCTGGAAATTTCTTTCCCTTGGAAGAGCAGTAAGATACTCTAGGGATTCACAAAACTTTACAGAGAGGTAAAAACACAGAACTTTGCCATCATGTTTTATAACCCCAAAGAAATTGTCTACCTTTCACATGATTGACATCCTTGGGTAATGAAAAATGTGGTGCTTGAAGCCCTATGAAATATTTTCTTTATCCTTTCCTTCCTTTTCCTTTTCCTTTCCCTTTCCTCCCTCCTCTCTCCTCCCCTCACCTCACCTCTCCCTCTCCCTCTTCCTCTCCCTCTCCCTCTCCCTCTCCCTCTCCCTCTCCTCATGAATATATTTAGGAAGACAGATAGACAAAGAAAGACCAGAGACAGACAGACAGACAGACAAACAGACAGTCTTTGATAGAGTCAGTTCTCAGGAAGTTTCCAGGTTAGCTCAGAAGTAACACACCTAAGCCAGTCTCACCTCAGCCAGGTGCCATGAGTCATGGCTATGTGCACTTGCCCAGTAAGCAGAGAATGAGGGACTGACCACCTCTGCTTTAGGCGATTCGTGGTGCTGCTGAGGTGGTCACCCACGTGCCAGGGCACGTTGCTCAGCATGCCTTGCAAGAGGTGGGCTAAGGTCACATCCCAGCCCCAGCACATACACGTGCACACCGCTCCTTCGTACACACGCCCCTGGGGAAAACCCCCAGAAGGGCCAGGGCACGGCAGCCACCCTGCTGCAGAGAGGCTCACCTTGGTGATGCCCAGGGCCCCCACGTTCTCGCTGTAGGATGTGGTGCCGTTCCCTGTGCCCCAGGCCCCAGCCAGGAGGCAGCCGATGCCTTCCACCCCGATCCCGCGGCTCACGGCGTGTTGCGGCGGCGGCGGCGCCCCGGCCAGCCGGGCGCACGCGTAGTAATCTCCCACAGATTCCAGCATGGAGGAGATCACCCCGGCTAGGATGCCAAAAATCCCAGCCAGGCTGACGGTTGGCACTCCCCACTGGCCTGCAAGTAAAGAGCTCAGTTCAGGTCGGTGAAATTTGCCCTGAGATTTACTGTGAGGGGGAGGAAGAGCAAAGGTGCCTCATTTTTGGCATTTCATCTCCCTCTGCAAGCCAACAGGGGAGGTGCAATCTGGAGCAGGGAGCAACACGGTGGGGTGTGGAAAGAGGGGAGGCAGTGGTACCTGGGTAAGGCAGCCGAAACCAGGGAGCCTGGGACAAAACGTCCCCACGAGTGTCCGTCCGGGCCGAGTGGCCATAGGCTTTAGGGTTGGCGGGAAGGACGTCAGTCACCGTCAGCACGTAGCAGAGCAGCCAGCTCAAGGAGAGCCCCAGCAGCACCTGCCCATCACATGCAGCAGTGGGGTCCAGTTAGGGCATGGCCATGTCTCCAGCACAGCTGTGGGGGACAATGCTGGCCTGCCCCTTTCCCCTGCACATGGGATGGAGACAGAGGGATGGCAGGGGTACCTGGCGGCCCCCCTTCCCTCCCTACATGCAGGACCATGGGAATCTTCTCCCCTTTTGCCCCCTTACTGTGCAGTCTGGGTTGGGAAGCACTGACTTGGCTGGACAGAAATGGAAAGATGCCAGGCAGCCCCAGGTGGGTGAGGCCAGTCCCTCTGCCATGAGCACTGGGTCTCCAGGAACCCCAACATACCGGGAAGATCTGGAAGAGGTAGACCGGGGAGAAGTGGCACTTCTTGCCTCTCTGGTAAGATGGCAGCAGCACAGGGACATCTTTCAGGTACTGGGAGAACAGGACTATGAAAGAAATAGTCCTAGAAAGAGGGAAAACCAGACCATGAGACAAAGTGGGTGATGAGTTGCCTGCCTGTCCCCACATTAACTGAAGACCTGCTACTGAAGGATCCAGGACTCCAGAAGACTCCAAAAAATAGGCTGTCAGCACCAGAGGGTGGCTCCCCATACCAGCAAGCCTGGAGTGGAACAAGCTTTCCATCACATTCTACTGACAGGTCTGCTGCATTTGCAAACACATGTTCCTACATAAAAAGGCTGGACCTAATGATCCTTGAGGTCCCTTCCTACCTGGCGTTCTATGATTCTATTAAATACTTTTTTCCCCTTTTATTTCAAAACTGATCCCCTGGATGGTGCGTCACTGAGTATGACACAGTTGTCAGAGCTTAAAAATGGCAATCAAGTAAAAGAAAAAAACATGAGATACATGCAAGATCCAGACAGGATATGTAGGAAACAGTCCCTGAACCTCTGTGTAATTCAGATATACTGGAAATAAAGGTTTCCTGATTTCAGGTTTACTTATTCTGCTCTGCAACTGGCAAAAAGCTCCTGTATGGCACAGAGAAAAGAAAGAGGGTTTAATTTGGTTGTGCAAGGTTGAGTTTTGAAAGAAAAAAACTGTGCTGGGACCATGAGGCTGCATGTGGCACCCACAGAGCTCTCCCAGCCAGCCAAGAAGGGGACAGCAGGGCTGACTGGTCTGCAAGGGCTCTGTGGCAAAGGGGTCCTCCAAGACAGGGATGCTCATGTGTGCCCCCAGCAGCACCTGGGGCCCATCCTGGTGGCAGCAATCATGAGGTGCAGCTCCTCTGCCATCCCTCATGTGGGACACATCTCCCACGAATGTCAGCACAGCTGGGTGTGCTCATGGGAAGCCCTGTCTGTCCCCTGTGTGTCTTCTCCCCAGAGAGGGCAACCAGATGAAACTGAAGGCTGTGATATGTGGCAAGAAGGCAGGATCTGGGCATCACACCTTGACTGCTGAGCTGGTAGAAGTCCTTGGACATTTTCCTTCTATGTTAACCATGCCTATGAAGGGCTCCTCATTTATTTTTTATTTTTAATAACAAATCTGAACTGTATATGTTGAATTAATCCAGATAGAATTTGGTGAGAAATTGCTTGCACCAGCTGAAGTGCAGGGACAGTACACCGGTTGTTTTTCCAGGCCTGAAAGGGTGGGAAGCTCTGGATGCAATATTCACAGGCAGGCAGAATCCCAGCAGTGCAAAGGACACACTAAGCTCACCTCTCTGCAAAGATGTGCCACGACATCAAGCCAGAGTTATTTATCAGTCACGATTCAAAGCGCTGAATGACAGGAGTGGGAAAGTCTGAGGAAGAACTTGTTTCCATTTGTGGTTTCTAAAGCTGCAGAGCCCAGACAGACTGCGTTAGTGCGAACTTGGTGCTTTTGCAGTGAGAGAGGTGCTCAGCAGCCTTATGAATCACTGCAGAACCTTCATCTATCTTGGGTAGGTGTTGCTGCTTATTATTCAGGTTGCCTGACACATTCCATTAACAAACACTGCTATCAGCTGTTTATAATTCTGCTGAACTTGACTCATAACGTCTGCTTCAGGCCAAAGATTTCCGGAATAATATACCCCTAACTTATTTCGAAGAACAATGTTCAGGAAATGGACATAGCATAGCTTGTACTGAGGAGGTCATGTTGCCTTGAGCAGCGGCAGGGTCTGCTTATTACCTGGAGCAGAAATTTGAGATTTAGTAGAACTTGTCCTCTGGTGTGAGGGATATTACTCTTTCTCACAAAAATATGCTCACTTGTGATCAGTCTGTAACATCATTCATCCCAGGTCCCAGGCAGTCAGCAGAAACATCTCAGGTGTTAGCATTTGCAGCTCATAAAGCTTCTGAACCTTCTGAGTACGCCCAGGCCTTGCCTAGTGATAACCTGTGTAGGCACCATCACCAGGGAGCAAGAGAGCAAGCCCTAGACTAGTTTCTGGAAGCAACAATGGGTGTTGTTGGGGGCTCTGGGATCTCATGGGGCTGGTCAGCAAGGCTGAGACCACATGGCCAATGTCTTCCATCTTCTCCATCACCCTTCTCCCCCTTTCCCTATTGGCATCCACAGAGCATGGAGAAGGCAGTAAAAGAATACACAAACTCAGACAGCTCAAAGCACAATTATCAGGTGGGGGATAAGGTGTCCGAGTCGTGAGAGAAAGGACTGGGATTAGCACAGGCAGAAGATGAGACAGAAATGAGCAGGGCAGAGACAATGACCCAGGTTGAGATTAGAGACACAGGCTGAGACCCTATCAATGAAGTAGCACAGTTGGGCAAAAAGGTCAAGCAAGGGACTGAGGTTAGGAATCAGTGACTGGAAAAATGAAGCAGGAAAGAGAACAGGTCCTGACAAGAATATATATTTTGAAGGGAAAATTCAGACTGACTAAGAAAAGGGGCTAGGGCAACTTGTCAGACCTGGAGAAGACAACAAGGCAGTGCAACAACAAGTGGTGGAAGAAACAATTGTGAAAGGAAAGCTGGGGGCAGGGTTTGGGGTCATGTGGGGTGTTGGTGTGAAAGATCAGTTAGGTGAGGAACTGGAGGTAGAGAAGGGGTTTTGGGGCCTGGGAAGGCAGGTGCAGGGAGAAGAGAACCACAGAGAAGTGGACTGGAGCATGTACCCACAACAGCACATTGCCCTCCTAGGGCTGCCGTCAAGCCTGGCTCCAAAAGCAGCTCTGAAAACACTAGAAAACTCATGGTAGCCCATAGAGAGGATAACAACCTACTCCTGTTGCATGTTATCCCAAGTGGAAGTCTTCATTAGGGATCTGAAGGTCCCAAATCTGCAGGGGAACCATTGGCACTTCTTTCTGAATTCATTTCTGAAATGCCAAGGAAACCCTGCCACCAAGCACGCTCACACATTCATATACAAGGGCACGCACACAAATATCCCTGAAACAGCACTCAGTGCTGCAAAGCCACAAGCACAGACTTCTCCAGAGCCCCCCAGGCCCTCTGTGAAGAAAACAATTCCTCCTTGTCATGTGAAAACAATACATGAAGCACCAGCTATTCTAATTCTAGGAATACCTAACTCCGAGTGCTCAACTTTGTCATTTCAGGAATGTTTTTTTCACACAAATAATGAATGTGTAAGACAGTGTGCACAGACAGCTGTGACAGAGTCTCTCCCCAGGAACTAGACACAAGAAAGACTTGTTTCTCTACTGACCTTTAAACTTCGGATTTCCATAAAAATCACATTTTTAAACTCGTTTTTGGGTTTGGCTTTGTTGCTGAGGCATCAGACCTCTGGAAGGGTGGAAACCTGTGTCAAGCTGCTGTCTTGCACAAGCCTGCCACATGCTGGTGTTCAATAAATTAACCTCAAACCCAGGAGAACCCTGCTACAAACTGCAACACTGGATTTCATGTTAAAGGTAGGTGGCTTGTGTACCTTCAGCTTTTGCCCAGGGAAGTGACACTTACATGAAGGCTATGCCCCAGTGCTGCCCTGCCTTGTCCCCGGCCGAGTCAAAAAGAGGCAGGGCAACCAAGGTGATGGTGGGGGCAATTGTCAGGGGGCCGATGAATCTCATCAGAAATCCAAGCAGGCCAGAAAATCCAACGAAGATCTGAAAGCAGGAAGCTACAATGATAGCTCCTTGCACCTGGAAAAATGGAGGGAGAGAGCAGAGGTTGAAAGGAGCTCCAGCTGTTGAGGCTTTTCTTCATAAGTCAGTGTAAAACCAGCGTGAGAGTCAGGCTCAGCCTACAGGGATGAACTAACAGGGTGGCTTCCCTGTTCCAGCAGAGTCTGGCTGAGCATAACATGAGGAAGGACCACCAGAGTACCAGCACACCAACTTTCCCCTTGACTCATGGGTTGAGTCCTCATTAGGGCTAATTCAGTTCTAGAGTCTACCTCCTTCCTGTCCTCTTGGGCCACTCAAGCATGCATCAGCTCCCCTGCTCTCCTAAAGTGCTGGGAATAGCTCTTACCCTGAAAATGGGAGCTGGGCCATGGTCTCCACTCATCTCCCATCTGGGAAGGGCTTGGGGCATTTTAGCACACTGGTAAAGCAGGTGAGCTTGTTACAGCCTCTGTTTTTTTTCTGAGCATTGGTTTCCTTCTGGGCACACATTTATCACTCTGAACTTTTCCATATTTGATAATGACTGCCAAGGAACTAGTGATTACACCCTGAAATAACATTTGCTGCTCACATCAGCTCCAGGCAGGGGATGCAGGGGTGAGGCTGCTGCTCTCTGCCTTCGCAGATTTGGTGATAAACCCAGGCTGGGTCCTCAGGAGTGCTCAGTACTTTCCCTCCCTTGGCTCCAAAGGGAAGAAAAACATGGGGGTGGGGTGAAGCACCCAGCCTGAAAGGAGAAAGCAACAGTGCCCTTGTTGCAGATTTATGAGTGTCAGTAGGGAGGGCAGCCTGAGCTGCACAGCAAATCCTTTGTGAGCTTGCAACACTTCTGGAGCACTTTGCAGAGCACTCCAACATATTGATGGGCAGAGGCAAATTTACCCACCTACTCTGATAAGGCAATAGATGTAGGACAAGGCTCTGAGAGTCCTGATCTTTCCTCTCCTCTTTGTCTACCTTAGAATTCACTTTTCCTTAATAATTACTGTAAGCTCTGCCTCTGCATTTCTTTTTATGAGGTTTCCTGTGAGACAGGTTCTTTTCCATGGAAACATCTTATCTCCCTTCTTTCTTCAATGCTAACCCCACTTCATGGAGAAAGGATCTGGCTGGACCAGTGGAGACTTGTCAGAGACCTTAAATCAGCCAAGGTCTGTATGGCCCCTGTTCAGCAACAGTGAAGCACCTACTTTCCTAATGGAGTTTAGGTGCTTTGAAAGCTGCAAAGACCCATGAGAACCAACATCCATTGGGGTTGGAGGGTTCTCCAGCACTGATGACCCTGACATGGTCTAGTTCTTTTTTGAAAGCAAACAGCCCAGATACAGAGCAGGTGCCACTGAAAATGTAATATACCTCTCGCATCCGCGTCTGCCAGACTTCAATGAACTCTGGTGAAGAGGCATTGACCAGGGTGGCATTCTGTGTCCAGGCAGGGCACTTCCACATGGGGAGAGACAGCATGGCCAGGGTTGGTGTCAGGAATGCAAAAGTGCCTCCTTGAATAATAGGTAACCTGGAAGGAGAGCAGAGGGAATAGATGACAATCAACAATGCTAGAAACCAGTTCTATAGAGGTGACTGTAAGGAAAGCAAAATACATTTGAAAATCAGTCTGCGTGTGGCCTCTGACAGTATCTTTTGAAATGCTCTGGCAGGTCTCCATCACTGACCAGGGGTGGGTATTGCTGCCCGTTGCACTCAAGAGGAAGGGAAGAGCTCATGTTCAGACTCTGCCAATGGAGACTCTCATTGGTGCTGGAGTCAAACTCTGCTACCCTGCATTAGAGAAAGAGTATTCCTCCTAAGGTGTGACTAGACCATGGAGCTGCAAAGCATAGAACCACAACCAAAGGAAAAGAAGGGAAGGGAGGAGGGAAGGAGGAGGGAAGAAGACCAAGGAAGAAAGATGGCGAGACTCTGAAAGAAGTTTAGCATTAACCTAGGCCCAGATCTTTCCAATATCTGGTTGCTTCCTCTGTCCCCTCCATCTGCCTCAGTTTTATTTACAACCTGCTCATGAACACAAGGACATGCCTTGGCTACTCCCCTCATCACAACCATCCTCCGACTGAGAGCAGTGCAAAATGTGACTTGGTTTTTAGTACATTTTTTCAAAGCTAAGGACTTGGCCCTGTTTCTACCAACACTAGAAAGGAGACCTGTATGGGTGGGTCTGAGCACATGGGCTGGGGTGAGACCTGTGGGCTGCTCCCCCATGCCATGTGTCTCCTGGCTCGGAGTAACCCTCAGGCCAGCAAGTAGTTTGCTGGCTTCATACGGAGTTTTGTACTACTGGGCTCGTGCTACTGTGAGCTACAGGATCACAGAATGTTAGGAGTTGGAAGGGACCTCTGCAGATCTTTGAGTCCAAGCCCCTTTCCAAAGCAGGGCAGATCACTCACAAAGGCATCCAGACAGGTCTTGAAAGTCTCCAGAGAAGAAGACTCCACAACCTCTCTGGGAGCCTGTTCCACACCAGCCTCTTCTCCTTCCATGCATGGAGGAACAGAGACAGAGGCTGAAAAAGCCCAACTGGCTCTTCAAAGCCCCCCAGGCATTAAGCCTCTATTGCAGTGCACATTTTTTTAGCCTTTCCTCTAGCACCTGTGAAAAAAACCCAAAGCAGCCCAAGGGCACAGGCTGGCACAGAAGTTCTGAATCATCCAAGGGAAACCCCCAAGGGGCCTCAGCTTCCTCCATTTAGGAAGCACCTCTGGGAGCAGCTCCCAAAGCAACCTCTCCTTGTGCCAGGAGCTCTCCTGGTGTTTGCCCAGAAAAGCAGTGGGGCAGTGAGCCAAGTGAGTGCTTCTACAGGGCATGGATCTCCCTGAACTAGAGGCACTTCCCCTTTCTCTGGAAAGAGCTGGACAGTAAGAGATGGCATAACTGTAACAGCATCATGTTTCCGTCACCTGAAGCAAATATTTACACCTCTGCAATTACTCATGCCATGCACAATCGAAGCACTGTCAAAGCTCTGCCAGGATATTTGAATATCAGTCATCTATGAAGTCACTTACTCACAGCATTCAGCCAAAGACGTTGCAGCCTTCAAAGGATTTTGTGGGCTAGGCAAGAAAAAAATAAACAAAAAGAAACAGAGATGGCTCATTGCCACCAGTGTGGAATTAACAATAGATTTATAGCTCCTGCTGTGTTTGCCCTCAAGATACTTCACAGCCAGCACTGGCATGGGTGGGCTCAGAGCAAAACTGAGGTGCTGAGGTGATGCATATGGGGCATGCTGAGCTCTTTCCAGCAGGGTTTGCAGGTGGGAAAGCTGCGGGTTTTGAGAAGGAAATACTGTGCTCTGATCATCACCACACGATGTCCAAGCATCTGCTGAAGGGGGCTAACCATAATGGCAAGTGATTTGTGTCTCTCCTCTGAAGCCTCTAGGATATTGTCTCCAGTGACTGTCTGGGACCCATCACTGCTTTTTCATGCTGTGTAATACAACCAAGCTGCAGATGGCAGTGGGTCGGGCTCTTCCCTTGGCTACTGCTTCTGGAGGGCTGCTTCTGAACAGCACTAAGTCTTGGTGGGAACCTTCCCGTTTCCATGGCCAGTTCCCATCTGCTCGTTCATGAGCCAATATTGTCTTTCAGACTACACAGTTTCCTCCTGCCTGACACCCACCATTTCTCTCCCAGGGTAGTTGCAGGTGGCAGCCACATCCCTCTGGGCAGCCACCATGCCAGCCTGGCTAACCAGGCTGGCACCTGTAAGATTAACCATGTCCCTTCCCTGTGCCACACTAACAGATCACCTCCCTACCTCTTCTCCTCTGAATTAGTCTTTCTTAAATACAGACACTGGGAACTGTGCAGAGCACTTAGCTGGGGGGTCCCCAGAGCCTCAGAGAGTGGGATGGATCTTTTCCAGGAAAAAGCATCCCCTCAGTCTGGTTATTTACCACTTTCACGGCTGTCTTGTTGGTGGTTTACAGTTATCAACTACTACAGGGCTTCAGAAAACAGTAGAAGGATTTTACAAATCTGCCTCCAACTGTCTCCTCAGGCCTGATTTTTCCTCTGGCCACATCACAGGCTGAGTCCCACCTTTCCATCAGGAATATCCTCATGCATTATAGTTGGGGCCAGCAACAAAGCCAGTGTGTCCTCAGCATAGCAAAATCATTCAAGCTTATCCTATGGGAACAACTCCTTACCAAATTTGTTTTTCCTCAATTAGCTATTCCACCATGGGAGAGGCTTCCTGCTACTTTTTCTTCCTCATCTAACAGCATGCAGGGGACACCACCAAGGCATCTGAGGGTGCCTGGGAGGACTCCAGCCTGAATCACACCAGCAGCCACATCCCATGATCATGCACCCTAGTCTGAATTTAAACTAACTGAAAAGAACCATATTGTCTCTTTTTCATGACCAGATTGTCTTTCCTTCTCTACTAATCTTGTAGGAATGCAGGAGAAAGGAAGCATCTTCCAGGGAGCGGCTTGCCTAAAGCCACTTCTTAGGGCAGACAGAGGTGGAAAAGTTGCATTGGGAAAAGAAACAGGAGCAGTAAAACTATTTTGTGGAGCTGGCAGTTGACCACTGATTTGATGGTAGAAAAGTTTCAATCAGGTCCCTCAGATTTGGAAGCCAAAGAAGGTGTGATTTTTGCCTTTGAAACAAGAAACACGGCTTCCCATCATATTGGAGGAAAACCCAGCCTGTGGAAAGAGAGAGGCAGTCCAGAGTTATGACATGGGGAATCAAAGAAATTTTGCAAGGCCAGCAAAGGTTCAGGGTCTTTGTGGCAAGGGAGGGGTCTTTGCAGCCATGTCTCTTATTACGTGCTGCATTTTCTGGGCAGTGAATGCCAACATTATGCTCACCTCCTCACCACTCAACAGCTCAGCAGCAAAGATGACTTACCTTGCTTACATTCACACTGTGCCACAAAACCCTGAGCAGGCAAAGTGGCACCACTGAACAGAATGTGCTGCAGAGCTCTTCCCTGAGTCTCTGAGCAGTTTTTCCCAGTTATCCCCCGCCCTAGAGTTCCCTACAGAATCTGTGCACCCTTGATCCCAGGCCCAGATGAGGAGGGTCCTGCCTCAGCTGGAGGGTCCCTGGGGTAGGGAGCAAACAGCAACTGTTGACTGAATGTTTCAGTGCTTTATTATTTTGCAGGATAGATTCCTGCAAAGCCCAACAAAAGGTGCATCAAGTACCAGGAGATGCAAACATCAGAACAGCTAGGTAGCCCTGCAAGGCCATCATGTACAGCTATTTCAGGATGCTTTGGCACCTGCTCTGGTTGCCCAGGGGCACCAAATCACACACACTGCTGCAAGCTCTACAGCACACTGGTGGCCAAGCACACAGTAATTGCAACAAACTTTTTGAGTGTCCCATTTCTTGCATTTGGCCTACCTGACTCCAAAGAGGACTTGCAGCAGGGTGCAAATCCCTGAGACAAAGAAGATGGTGCTGATCAGGTGGCTCTGGGTGAGGAGGTCATGCTGGATGCAAAGGTCTTTGGAGAGGATCAGCGGGATGGCTACCAGACCTCCCATGGCTGTCAGGAAATGCTAGGAGCCACAGAGAAAGACAGGGTGAAGAAGGACACAGAACAGGCTGTATAGCACTCCCATGTTGTTGAGGGAAATCTAAAAGTAAGTCAAAGATTTGTGTTTGGATGGTACTAGTATTACCCATCCTCTTTCCTGACAACTCTAATGCTCTGTTCCAAGGCACCTACAAGAACTGCAATGCACTCCCACAAACTTCTCCAGCTTCCCACGCCCAAAGACCTTCTGTAGTGCTCTGGATTCCCCTGTCACTGTCAAACACAACCAGTTTATCCTCAGCACCTGCAGACAAAACTGATGGGGCTACTCTTTCATGAAGCTGGGGACATCCCAAAATATGGGGGCAGAGCCATCAGGCAAAGTGAGCACAAATGTTTCAGTCCATCTCATTTGCACCTCAAAGGGCAGTATAAAAAGCTGGCAAATTGGATCTACCCATTCTTTGCTATCTGTAGCTTTTCTCATACAGTGGAATTATGAATAACCATTACAACGGAATAAATCAGGCATTGCATTTTTCTGAGGAGTCCCAGACATATTTCTACAATGATCTTCAGCTAATTTCTAGATGTGAAAATAATTATTGAAACTTATTTGTGCTTCAAATTTTAACCTTAATTGTGGTGAGCAATGGGCAAGGCAAAGTTGTTTCAGTTGGAATCACTTCCCAGTTCTTGCCTCAGACTTGCACAGGACTGCAGTGGTGAAATTGGAGGCACTCAGAAACTCACTGTGCTCATTAGAGACATGCTTTATTAAAATTATGTCGCAGATGTGTTCAGAAAACCTTGTCTTAATACACTCTATGTCTGAGATGATAGTTTCAGGAAACAAAGTACAAAATGCCCACCAAGCCTCAAGCACAGTCCATCATCATCTGAATCTCCCTGAGGTCTCTCTTCCCTGAGACTCTGTACCCAGCATGGCACTGGTGGCACTGGGTTATTTAACACACCTGGGCATGGACACCAGCCAAAACAGAGTGTGCCTTTCAGCTTATTTTTTATTGCCATGGGAAGGTAGAAGTTCAGAAGCCCTTAGACATTTGGCCAACTTCAGCTGAAGCATCCAACCTGTTCTTGTTATTTGGCTCCAGTCCCAGGACTTCCATTTGCACTTCAAGGGGCACAGCACAGCTGTGGGCACAAGGATGACATTCAGTGCTCAGGGGGTGGTGGAAGGACTTGAGGTCCCTGAAATCCAGCCTCACAGATCCAGTCATGCCCCATGAAGGTGAAGCACTCCCAGATTTAGCTTTGACCTCACATTAACCAGCTGAACAGCCATTAAGCTTCCACCCACCCACAGCCTCCACCTGCTCCCCTGTCTCACCTGAATTCCCAACAGGATGCACAGGTACCAGGGGGGCACATCTGTGACAGTGTAGGCAAGCTTGCTACCCCTGTGGCCTTTGTCCCCACCTTCCTCTGAGTGCCAGGCAACACGGTCAGGTGAGGAGCAGTAGTGGCTCCCATCTTCATCCTGGCAAGCAGGAGAAACCCTTTGTTAGTCACAGCCCAGCCCCACAGTCACCCAGCAGCTGCTTCTTTTGCATCTGTGCTCCATGTCTTGGAGCAACACCTCACATACAGCTTTCAACAAGGGCAGGATGAAAAAGAAGAGCAAGTTGGGAAGTTGAAACAGAGATAAAAACACCTATGGAAAACTTTTATATGTGTGTGTGTAGACCAGAAGAAACATTAAAGGGTGCCTCAGCCTCAAATGGACACCTGGACAAAGTGTCCTAGAGTCATTAATGTCTAGTTAAGGATGAAGAAACTGCAACCAGAAGCAAGAAAGAGTGGGCAGTGGGTTAATCAGTGAAAGCTGCACTCACTATCCCCTGGCCTCTGTCCTTCCTGGCTGTCCCACCAACCAGCACTCTTAATAAAACATGCTAAAACAACTTGGCTGCCACTAATTACAGAGAAGAAGCATGTTTGATATTCAGTTTCTTAAGTCTTCTCTTCCCAATGTCCTTACATTCCCTGTTACAAATGTTGTGCCTCTATAAACACAGCTGTCCTGTGTCTGACAAGAAAGCCTTGCTTCTGCAGAGGAACAGGGTAAAACACAGGGACACCAGCAGACAGGGAGCCCTGGCATCCACAAGAGGGGACTCAAAGCAGGGCTAATTGGGTGCTGCCCCAGCTTGGCCACCTGCCCTGGGAATGGCACCCAGAGGGATGTCCCAGGGCAGGGGCAGCACTGGGGATGGGGAAACAGCCTGGAGACCTGGGCCCAGGTGGCAGCGTCTGCAACAGCTCCCCAGGAAGACTGAGCTCCTCTCCCAGGCAGCCAGAAGCCCCAGGGCTCCCCAGGGAGCTGTAGGCCTTGCAGAGTTTATTTATACAAAGACACGTTTTGCCAAGGAAAGCAAAATATTGCTTATAGCTTTGATTCAATTGCCACAGCTTTTAAGCTAAGTAAATGCCCCTGGCTGTCCACTCCTCCTTCCAACCCACCCTGACCCCTGAGCACACATGCACACACACACACACACAGATGTACACCACTCCAGCCTGTGCATACATACGTGCACACCCCTGCAAACACACACCCATGAGGAGTGGGGAGGCTGCCTGAGAAGCCACAATGTTTTGAGACAAATGCAAAAACTAATTAAGAACCCAAACCATTTGTTTCATCAACCTTCCTCCAGTCAGCAAGTCCTTGGCACACAGTGAGCAGAGGGTTTTCTGGGCTGGGATGCCCTGCTCTGTAAGGGAGGATCAGAAACCTCTGTAAGAGAGGATCAGAAACCTCTGTCAGGAGAAGCTCAACCTCTTTGTCAGCATTAGACTTTTTTTTCTTGTCCTCCAAGTCCTGCTAGAACCTGAAGACATCAAAATGCCCAGCAAAACAAGGTGGCTGCAGCACCACTCACGCCTAAGTGCCTATAGGGATGTAAAATTAATGCTGCATTCAGGTGTAAATTTGGTAGGTTTAGGAGGTTAATCCTGAAAGACTTCCTCATTTGACTGGAACCTCCAGGTTTCCATTCTCATGACTGAGTCTCAAGTCCCATTCTAGATCACACTGTTGAAAATGTGCTCTGCAATACCTTTAAAACTCACGTATTTATCCAGCCTAGGCAGGCTGGGAGCTTTACAGCTACTTTAGAATAGACAGGTGAAGGCAGAGTTAATTCAAATTGAGCTCAGGCATGAACTTCAAGAGCAAAAGACATTCCTGAATAACCCCCTGTGGAGACATTTTCATTTCAGAACAAGAGCCTGAGCCATGGATTAACAAATGTACAGCAAGGTACTTAAGACTGCCCATGCACGGAGTTATTTGGGGACAGCTACTCCTGAATAACACCATGGGCAGACAAACCCTTAGCTAGGCAGACAGCAGTAAGCTCCTTGCCTTGCATTGAAACTTTCCCAGTGTTAACTAGAAGGCATGTTCCAGCAGGGCAGAGCCTGTGCCATTAGCAGCCCCACATGACCATCACATGAATGCCTGACCACCCCTTTGCCCCAAGCCAGCAGGGCTCAGTGTGAGAAGGATGCAGTGGAGATAACAGGAGAAGACAGCGCCAGAGGCAATGGGCTCAAGTTGAAACACAGGAACCACCTGAACACCAGGAAATACTTTTCCACTGTGAGGGTGACCCAGGACTGCACAGGTTGCACAGGGAGACTGTGGAATTTCCATCCTTAGAGATATTTTAAAACTGTCTAGCCACAGTCCTCGGCAACTGGGTCTAGCTGACCCTGCTTCAGCAGGGAGGCTGGGCAAGTAGACCTCCAGAGGTCCCTTCCAGCTTCAGCCAGTTGGTGGTACTGTCAGGAGGGCAAGGCAGGAGCATTCCAGAGTGGGAATGGGGAAGCACTGCTGGGCTTCTCAGCCCAGCTTCTCCCACAAACGTAGAGGGCCAGGACACACCTGCTGCATATCTCATGCTCCAGGCACAGCCTCACAGCTCTCAATAGCATCTTAAATATGCATACCAAGAAGGCAGTCAGAAACTGAGCTGCTTGAATCACGGGTAAAGACCTCTATATTCTGCCTTCTTTTTTGGGGTGATTCAAACCAGAGAATGTCACAAGCCTGATCTGCATTATGGCAGAACAGGTAGAAATGGAGACCGTTAACAACAGCAAAAGAAAACTTCTGCATTGCCCTGAGGCTCTGCCTGCAGCTGGCACAGCCCCCCTACTGCTCACAGTGCATTCCCCAAGAGTTACCTGAGAAATGGGAAGCCTGGACACCAAGAGGTTAAATGCCTCCTCCAATGAGTCCCAGGCAGGTTGTCTGTACCGTGGTAAAAGGAGTGTCAGGACCCCACACTCTCACACCTGCTGTCACAACATAAGCACCTCTCTCAGTTTCTCCTGGAGATGACTCGTGCTGTGAGATAGGAAGGGGCTGCCCCAATCTGCTGCAGCCCACAGCACCTCCAGTGCTCTGCACACCCCTGAACCGACACATCACTCACAGCTTCCACCACCCTGCTGTGACCCTATGGAGTGCTTTCCCCTGCTGACTCCCAGATGTCTTTTTTTCCCCATCTCTCTACTGATTTACCCCAGTAGAAACAGATCCAGAAGACAAAGAAACACACTCTCCAGTTGTCTAAGTATCTGTTATAAAGTGCTGTACCCAGGGACACAGCCACAAGCTCACTTGCTTTTCAGTACAGATGCACTTGCTCTGACATCCATCTACACTATAATTTTACAAAAAATGGAGAGCAAAGAAGTGAAAAGGGTTCCAGAGAGCAGACAGTAAGTATGCTGAGCCTGCAGCAGCAGCAGCAGCAACTGTAGTGAGGAAATAATTCATCGGATTCCTGTTGATAAAGGAGCCGAGACAGACGGTTACCACACACCAGCATCCTTGCAGCCAGTCCAAGCCCCCAACTCTCCCTTTCTCCTCCTGTCTCAGGGCTTGCACCCATTTCTGCAAGCATTACCCTTCAGAAAAGAGCAGACTCACCACAAAGCTGGGGTTATCTATCCCGTTGAGCTCTTTGTCTGAGGAGGGGGTCATGCCTTCCACTTTCCTTCACCGACAGCCTTGAAAGAGAAGGACTGGTAAGAAGAGGAAAGCCTCCCAAGTTGCCACAGTCAACAGTGCCCTAAAGAAACAGGGTGAGCAGATGCAGAAGCTGAACTTCAGGAGTCAAGCAGTGCTCAGTCCTAGCTATTCATGTGAGCCGTATCACAGAAGCATTTCTTTTCCTTTGGCTTATATAAGTGACTCCTTTTCTCCAGCTGATTAGAGGACCGGCATTCAAACCAAACTGGAAAGCAGCCCTTTCCTGGTGTGAGTGAATCAGTAAGGGATGGCAGAAACAACTTCCTCCACAGATAAGGATGCAGGGGAGTGTCAGAGAGGCAAAACATTTCCCTGTTTTGCTGCCACAGCCTTTAAACTTTTTAATTCATTACTGATGCAACAGCCACTTGCACCTTCCTTGTGGGTTGGGCCCATTTTAAGACCTTTGTAAATCAAATTTCTAGATGGTTTCACTTGTTTCACATGTAAACTGCTGTGCATTTTGGCTTAGGTGCAAACGTCATCACCTTGTATGATAATCCTGTTACAATATGAAAAGAATGAGGGTTTTACTGGCAACCTATTTAAGGCAGCAACAAATTATCACGTCATCAGAACATGACACCAGGGAGGTATAAAAGGCATAAGACTGAAAAAGGCCATCTGATCTATCTCCATTCAGCTAAAGATCCTTGCTGAATGGTGATCATCTGACAGCCCCAAGCACAGTTGCCCTTCTCTTAATAAGTAGCAAATGGTGTTAATGCTCCATCAAGCCATTCTAGCCACCCACCCCAGCCCTCCTCAGATTAAATACCTATTTAATTTAATGGTTTCCTGAGGCAGTGAACTTCCCAGACCAGCTGCAGAGAGCTCCTGTAGAGAGGGGCATGCTGTCACCTACACACTGTGACCACCCCTTGGGAACATCTCCTGGTTTCCACACAGAAAGCAGTGTAACAGAAATAAACTTTGGTCCCTATTTCTCCTGTAGAGCTTTGTCATTCTCAGACATTCTCTTCAAGCCAGGACTGAACTACAGGGAGAAAAAATCTTGCCCTAAACACCATCAGTGAAACTATGAGCTGCCAGACAGACAAATGTTAAGGCATCAGACTCACCAGATGTTCACAGCTTTGCCAGATCTCCTCTCTGAACTCCTATTATATAGGGATCTCCCTGTATTTTTATTGCATGGGGTGCATGTCCAGCCCCACTGATCTTGGCATGAGGCCATTTTTTTCTGCAAGCTGTAAATG